AAGCGTAGCACCCGGCACACAGCAGGCCTTCAATAAATATTTGTTAATGAATGAATGAGTAAATGATTGAAAATCTCAGAGTCCCCTACCCCTGCCCACCACCACAGTATAGAAAGTTCACATCTGCTCCGTGCTCCAGGGAGAAAAGCCTGTGGAGAAGAGGATGACAGTGGTGATTGTGTGAGGTATCATTATGTGAACCAGATGTGAGAGCTGCTGGCCCGCAGTCCTCGCTCTCCACGCACTGGCCCGACCTGCGTTCTGCTGTGCCGCATTAGATAAGAGAGGGCACTTGGAAAAGGATTTCTCCAACCCAGCATTACCCAGATGATGCTGCTGACCTTGTTAACAGGCCAGCAACTGCCCTTGAGGACCACAAAGGCCCATTTAAAGGAACTACCTTTGGTTATAGAGTTCAGGCCCATTGGCCATGGGGAAAGAATCTGGGTTCTTCCCAAAGTTTTTTTGTAATTAGATATGGCTTTTAATTTGCAGAGCATTTGTAAATAATCTATAGAAGTCCTCTTGATTTTCCCAACTAGATTGTAAGTGTCTAGGGGCCAAGGAATGTCTTGTTTCCTTTGTTCTCTAACCCGCTGGCAGCAACTGAAGCAGAGCTTGGCATCTCACAGGGGCTTGGTAAGTAGTTCAATTACTCCTGGAGCCCCTCAGGGTGGATGTCCCATGCGACTTTGGATGCTTGATTACTTGGTTTGGCTTCTATGCCCATTGCTTTTAATCCGGGGAAGTGGCATGGGATAGGGAAAGAAGAGTGGAAAGAACTGGAAGTTAGGAGTCAGGAGACCAGGAGTGGCCCTGGTTCAAGAGACCAGGCTTCTGACCCTGACCACTTCTGTGATCTCGTCAGGCACCCACTTCTCAGAGTCTCACTTCAGTCTGAGAAATGGGAATCATAGTTTATCCTGGAGTTGTTCTGAAGTTTGAATGAAGTGCTATAGGTAAAAAGGCTTTTCAAATTAAAATCACTATGCAAATAAAAGTAAAGCATTATTATTATCTGTAGTATGTATTTGCATAAATTACATCTTCTCTAGGTCCCCATGAAATAGGGATAATAATGGTTATTACCTCTTGCCAGGATTACTGCAATACCCTCCTAACTGGTCTTCGTATTTCTATTTTTGCACTTTTAAAAGACACTCTTTGCATAGCAGCTGGTTTATCTTTTTAATATGCAAATCATGCTACATCCTTCTCCTGTTTAAAAATCCTTCAATGGCTTCAGATTGTGCTTACAATAAAGTTGAAAGTCCATGTCAGAGTCCGCAGGGCCCTGCACCATCTGGCCCCTGCCTACTCTCTTGCCTGCCACCCTGAACATCCTGTACTCCAGCGGCACTGCCTGCTCCAGGTTTCTGGAACTTACCAAGAGCTTGACAGCCCCTTAAGAGCTGTCCTTAAGAGGACAGCATGGTCCTCTTAAGAACAGAACTCAGAAGTAGCCCACATCACTTCTGCTTGCATCCTTTTTGTGCAAACTTCACCTAAGGGCCATATCTTGTTCAAGGGATGCTGAAGAACGTCATATCCCTGTGGGTAGCTATGAGCCCTGTCTGTGCTCAGGGGCTTCTGTTATCAAGAGCAAGAGGGTGATGAATATCAAAGGACAATTTATAGTCATTATCTCACTTTCAGACAGTAGCTGAGCAAACTTTGAAGTCCCTGGAGCTGTCCCCAAACATGTAGAGGTGACTTTCACAATGGAATCAAGAAGGCAGGGGAAAAGAGAAGCATCGCTTTAAGAAAACTGAAGGAGATACCCAAAGTTTTTTGGCAAAACTCCTCCAAAATACTACCACTATAAACCTAATTTTTTTTCTGTCGTGAAAACGTCAATTTTCACTACAATCTAGTAGTTAGCAGAATCGTGACCTTTAAAAAAATGTATCCTTTTTGGATTGAACTCTTGGATTTTGGATTTTAGTCTAGGGGGAATTTTTTTGAGATGAAAAGTTTGAAAAAGCTCCATTTGGCAGATTCTAGAGCAGAGAAACAAAATCTCTCTTACGTACCATATTTTGGGATTTCTTTACATTTGGTTAACTCGGGGCCACTGCATTATTACAAATGTTTGGGGCATAAGGATGGGCGTTGGAATTTTTGCTTCATATTACAAACTATCGCTGCTAAGAATTCCCGAGCATAAACCTGGTCAGCCCAGGACACAACTGGGCAGCTTTTTAGACAGTATATCTCACTCTTCTGTTTACCGTGTGAGAGAGCAACATGAAATGCCTGGAACATGTATCTGTAAGGATGCTAATTGCAGCGCAGCTGCTGGCCCATGGGCTAGGATGGAAACAGCAGTCTGCTTGCACTTGGGTCGGTGTTACTGTATTTGTTTTTGTTGCTCTTTTCAGGGCCTCAGTTTCTGACTCTATGCAATGAGATTAGTCATACCTAGTGGGCATCTTGTCAAAATCATCTACTTTTGTGACCTGGCAGATCTTGTTTTTTCTCTTCCATGGTATGAGAGGGTCACACTGCACCAGAGTTTGTCAGACTGTATTTTGGGGATCCCCAGAGTTCTATGAAGGTTCGGTTATAGTAGGTAGCTAGTCAGGCATGAGCAGGACAGGAGAGGGCTCACCCCGCCAGCCCTGACACACACACCAAAAATGTCAGGCAACCATCAGGTGACAGGTAGTTAGTTGTTAACAGTCTCTCTAAAATAATAATTGGTTGCAGCCTGCGCCAGGGAAGGGCAGTCTCCTAATAGATAGAAAATACCTGAAACTGGTGATCAGCAGCTTTCAGATAAGATCTCAGGAGTTGGGTGAGTGGACCCAACACACACACTAAAAGGCAAATGGCAAAGTTCAACTGGTATATGACCTTCCTCTAGGAACGCTGGACTGGTAAGGGACGGATGCCTCCCTTACTTACTGGGCATGCGCACGACTCCAGTAAACGCACTGCACGCAAGCCCCCTCCCAGGTGCTGGCAGGCCACTGCACATGCGGACAGCCCACCGCAAGGGAAGAATCAGGGGAGATGTACCACTCGACCACAGAAACATGCCAACACATAAAACCCCAAATCAAAGACCAAACCCTGTACCTGACCTCTCAAGTCTCCTGCTAGGCCCTCTTCCAAGTGTACTTACTTCCTTTCATTCCTGCGCTGAAGCTTTTAAATAAACTTTCACTCCTGCTCTAAAACCTTGCCTCATGGGCGGGCGCCGTGGCTCACCCCTGTAATCCCAGCACTTTGGGTGGCCGAGGCAGGTGGATCACCTGAGGTCAGGAGTTCGAGACCAGCCTGGCCAGCAACATGGTGAAACACCATCTCTACTAAAAATAAAAAATGAGCTGGGCGTGGTGGCGGGCACCTGCAGTCCCAGCTATTCAGGAGGCTGAGGCAGGAGATTCGCTTGAACCTGGGAAGTGGAGGTTGCAGTGAGCTGAGATCATGCCACTACACTCCAGCCTGGGTGACAGAGTGAGACTCTGTCTCAAAACAAATAAACAAAACACCTTGCCTCAGTTTTCCCTTATGCCTTATGCCTTATGCCCCTCAGTTGAATTCTTTCTTCTGAGGAGGCAAGAACTGAGGTTGCGACAGACCTGCACACATACGGATTTGCTGCGGTAACAGTATGTCAGCTCTCTCTGGCTGGTAGGCTACGGAATGACCGAAGGCTTACCTTATACAGCTCACTTTGAAGGTCTGCTTTATTTGTTTGATGATCCAAGATGTATGATTAGTGGGAAAAATAAAGGGCTTGATTCTTTAAAAACATCAGCAGGCTACCGTGCTAGAATAATCCTTAAAATTACTTTCAGTTCCAAAATTATGAGAGTCAGAGAGGTTAGAGAAGTGAGCCTAGAAGATAATGTCTGTTGACAGCTGCCAGGTGTTCAAGGTGGAGCCGGGAGGTAGCAAGGTGTGGACGACGGATGTGGGTGATGTGTACATAGGAAGGTGGCATCTGCAAGCAGCTGGTGGTGAATAAACCCTACAGGGAGGCCCTCTAGGCTCATGTGGAAGGAAATGGATCTTGGAATTAGAAGACAGAAGTTAAGAGCCAAGCTGCTCTTCCATGAGCCAGGTGATCTCCAATGAACTGCTTAACCTCTGAGTCTTGATTTTTTCATCTATGAAAGTCAGGAGGTGGGGGTGGGAGTATTAGGCAAGTCTGTCATACCCTAGGCATATTTCTAAAGTCCCCCAAACCAAACAAATATTTATCCACTTAGTACTAACTGTTTTGGTGGCAAAATTTCACATGAACAAACAGGAGGTTGTATATATTCTGTATGTATGCCTGTCTAAGTGTGTTTTGTGCTGCTGTAAAGAAATACCTGAGGCTGGGTAATTTCTAAAGAAAAGAGGTTTCTTTGGCTCACAGTTCCACAGGCTGTACAAGAAGCGTGGCACTAATGTCTACCTTTGGTGAGGACCTCAGGATGCTCCCAATCATGGCAGAAAGTGAAGGGAGAGCTGGCATGTCACAAGGCAAGAAAGAGGGAGCAAGAGAGCGGGGAGATGGTGTCAGACTCCTTCAAACAACCAGCTCTCTGCTCTCACACAAACTCATAGAATGAAACTCACTGATTATCTTTGGGAAGGGCATCAAGCCATTTATGAGGCATCAGCCCCCATGACACAAACACCTCCCACTAGGCCCCACCTCCAACAATGGGGATCAAATTTCACATGAGACTTGGAGGGGACAAATATCCAAACTATACAAATCCCTCAGTGCAAACACAGATCTGTATCTAGACATCCATCTATACACACATGCATCCTGTTTCATTTCCAAAGTGTTCGTGTGTTTAATTACGGGTGCTATGTCAGACTCACTCAGTGCTCGATAGTTTGTGGTATATGCATGCTTGATCTTTCTGAAATCTGCGGAATCCTGAAGTCCAAACACATTTGTTCCCAGTAGTTTTAGATAAGGGGCTGGAGTCCGGTAATACTTCTTGACCTGCCCTTCAGGCCTATGGTGCGAATTGCGTGACCCACTAGCCATGGCACACACGGTAAGCTGTGAAGCCCCGGGTACGAAGGACGACATTTCCCGGGGCCATGGTACTGGTCTGCTAGGGCTGCCATAACACAGCAGCTTAGACCAGGTGGCTTACCCAACAGACATGTATTTTCTCTTGATTTTGCAAAGCTGGGAGTCCAGGATCAGGGTGTTATCAGGGTAGTTTCTCCTTGGCTTGCAGATGGTCGTCTTCTCCCTGTGTCCTCACACAGTTTCCCTGTTTGTGTTTGTGTCCAGTCTCCTCTTCCCACAAGGACACCAGTCAGGTTGGATTAGCCCACCCTTATTTTAACTCAGTTACCTCTTTAAGATCCTATTTCCAAATACAGTCACTTTCTGAGGTCCTGAGGGTTAAAAATTCAAGATGAATTTGGGGGGACTCCAGCAGCCAGGTCTCCCGGTTTAGTGTTTAAACCTGTGACTTCCTACACTTTACACATAACAGCATACCTGAATTCAGGCAAAGGCTGGGTGGTGAAGGAGACCTGCCTTTCCTGCCTCCAAACTGTGGTTGTGTGATTCCCCTATGGGCGAGCCTCTGGGAGTTTACAGTGTCTCATTGGAAGAGCCACACTGACAGAAGTCCTAATAAATAATTAGAAGCACATCTGTTAACTCTGTGAAACTTTGGCCCAGGCCCCCCACCAGGCCAGTGTGAACGGGAGGTTAATCAGCCGGCACCCAGGCGGGGTTTCCCTTTGTCCATCACACCTCGGGACAGGGGGAGGGGAGGGAGGAAGGAGGTGCCTCAGGTCCTGGTGCCCCCGAGGCCTGGTGAGGCCACTCGCTCTGTCCTGTAACTTCAATGAAGGGCACAGCTGGGAAGAGGATGACCAAATGGAAGAGACCGTCTCTCCTGGCAGACCATCCGTCTCTGTTTATTGTCCTGTGTTTTCTGATGGGGCCACACTGGGGGTTGGCCAGCAGGGGCAGACCCCCTTGTGTGTCTGTAATAAGACAAGCAGTGGAGTCTGTCCGTCAACAAATATTTATTGACCTCCTGAGGTCACAGGGCCCGGGGCCTGACTCTGAGGAGACTCTCTGGCTGCAGCCATTATTCGCCAGGCAAATACCCGCGCAGCAGAAGGCCCAGATGTCCTCCTCAGCCTCGAGCAAGGGCTGCAGGCCAACACCACGTCAGATGGCAGTTCCTTTCATGGGCCTTCCTAGGGCTTCGGAGAGGGTCCAGCCAGAAACTACTACTAAAGTGTTACTTTACCGAGCATCTTGGTGTCTGGCACAGGTTGGGCTCACACAGCTAACGCAGAAATGAACCCACCTTCATTGGCCAACAATAGATGCTCTTCCCGCCTCTAACGAAGCCCTTGCAGCCTTCATGCCTGCAGATATTTCACAGCTGTACCCTTCCTCAGGGGCATTTTGCTTTTTTAACAGCATCAAAACGCCACACTGAAGGGACTAGACCAGAGCTGTGAGTGGACTCCCGGATGTTAGCACAAGGAATGTTTTTTCTAGTCAGGGTTTTGCAGGGCCCCAAAACAATATTATGTGAGCACACACAGATGGCTCTTGTGCTGTTACACTAACTTATGTAATTTTTCTGCTGAAAGCATGGACTCATGTGTGTGGCATTAAGGAAAGAGAGCATCAGTCACCCTGAGATAATCATGCGTCCTTGGGGGCTTCTAGTATGGCTGAGAGAGATAAGGAAGACTGGGCTAAAACGGGGCTTCTCTGCTTTTTACCTCTGCTTCTCTGTGAGATAGAGGGTAATGGTGTTTTGTTCCACAAGTGATGCACTTTCAAGATGGAAGAAGATACCCCGTGAATAGACATCAGGACAATCTTGGCTGTTCTGTGCTTCCCCGGCCCGCCTGGGGACGCCAGAGTTCTCTGCCCCTGGCTGCTCACATGAAGAACTCTCTTGGCCTGGCTTGGGGCAGAGATTCTCCGCAGAGGTGGGCAGAACACAGGCGTGAGGGGTACGCGTAGGAGGATTTGTTCACACACCAGTTACTGCTCGATTCATCTGCTTTTGTCCATCGCATCAAGACCCTGTAGAAGCAACTTCTAAACACTTGAAAGCTAACACCAGTGCCTTCTCTCTCTTTCTTTCTTTCTTTCTTTCTTTCTTTCTTTCTTTCTTTCTTTCTCTCTCTCTCTCTCTCTCTTTCTCTCTCTCTCTCTCTCTCCCTTCTTTCTTTCTTTCTTTTTGAGACAAGGCCTTGCTCTGCTGCTCAGGCTGGAATGCAGTGGTGTGATCACGGCTCACTGTAGCCTCAACTTCCTGGGCTCAAACAATCTTCCCACCTCAGCCTCCCAAGTAGCTGAGTGAAAGCACACCACCAACCCTGGCTAATTTTTTATGCTTTTCTAGAGATGGGGTTTTGCCATGTTGCCCAGGCTGGCCTCCCAAAGGGCTGGGATTGCAGGTGTGAGCCACCATGCCCTTCTTGCCAGTGCTTTCTCAAATTCCTTCCATCTGTTTCAGCTTCAGAGTCCCTTCAGACCTTCTGCCAGAGAGTGGAAAGCGTCCCCCCAGCCTCCCCTGTACTGGCCGTCAGTCCTACCGTACTTTCAGAAAGCTGCCCAAGCACAGCGCCTGCGCCTCAGGGACCTGCAGGATGTGCATGTGTGAGTGGGTACGGTCTGTATGCCAGTGTGTTTGGTGTGCGTGTGTGAGTGTGGTGTGTGAGAGGATGTATGGTGTGAAGGGTGTGATGGTGTGAGTGTGAGAGTGTGTGTGACTGTGTACATGAGGCCAACAATGACTGCACACTTCCCCTGTGTGACACATCCCTAGGGTTTTCACACACATGACTTCATTTCGTCCTTACACAAGCCTGTCAAGCTTGCATCATTCTCATGTCATAGAGAAGGAAACCGAGAATTACAGGGACTTCTAACTTGCCCAAGATCACACAGATGTGAAATAGGCTATAGTACCCGGCCTTGTCTGTCCAATTCCCAAGCCAAGATTCTTTCCCCAGTGTGTGTGTCCTCCTACCAGTGAACTCAGCTAACAATGTGTAGAAATGTGTGTCCCATTTCAATCAACTACTACAGCTGCCTCCGATGTGGGACACACACCAACACAGCCAGGAGTGGAGTGGGGAGTGGGACATCCTGGGTCCCGGGTCCTCCCATTGGGAGGTGGAAGCTGGAGGAAGAGCAAAGGGTGTCCCCCTCACCCCCAACCCTCCTGCCTTGATGCCCTAGGGCAGGGTTGCCTGCCCACAGGCCTTAGTTCTATAGGATGAAGAAGTTTCCAGTGAGAAAAAAGAAACCCTGGATCCAGTAAAAAAAATTTGAGGAAAATGCTAATTTAGACAAACAGGATTTTGTGTCCAAGCGTGTTTTATTTTGTTTTGATTTTATCGCAGGACTCTTCAAGTCTTTGTTACACTGGCATGCACTGTGATTTTCAGAGGAGCTTATAGAATGCAGTGCTTCCCAAACACAACAAATATCCCAGGCAAGACTCTCAGATCAGGCGTTGGAAAACTCACCCTACACTGCTTCTGTCTTAAGCCCCCTCTGCTGCCTGTATGGCCTCATGTCAGCAACCCACGTGGATGGCCAGGTGGCTCTGAAAGAGCTCAGTGCCTTCTAGGGTCAAACAGCTCATCTAAGCAGAAGGAAGTGGATGATGCTCATGAGCCCCTCTGGCAGGTTCTGGCCCTGTGGTTGGCGAGCAGTGGAGGCATCGGCCAGGTAAGCGAGTTCTCCTCCTGGTCTCCGCTTCCCCTCCTGTATGGGCATGAGTCAGAACTAGTCTGTGCTGGAGAGGGTGGAATAAGAGGCTGGCTCTGGATCACAAGAAAAGGATGACATTCCTTCACAATCCACATGAGATCCTTCCAGGGGAGGAGGACCAGAAAAACATTCTTATCATGATGATCAAGGTGGCCCTATGTTTAACCTCCTTGTGGTGAGGCTTGAGGAAACACAGATGATGCAAACGCATTCTGCTCTGTGCGACACAATTGGAACGGATGCCTCCGCTGGCAACCTGCTGGAGCCATGACTCAGGCAGAGGCGTTTTGTGATTTGTCTTTGTATCCACAAGGCCTGTTATAGGCCTTGGTATATAGGTGGTGCATAATAAATGTTTGGCGAGCAAAGGGAGCCAGGCAGTGTGTACTGGCTGGCATGCACGGTGCCATGGTCAAGCCCATCGAGCAGTTCCCTGAGTGGAGAGGCCTGTCCGTCTCACATAGATCCACCCGGGAATCTCCCAGGGAACCACTCCCTCTGCCTTTAGTGAAAGGGAAGGGTCCATGGGGTTGGATACATGTGATCCAGCATATTTCTTCAACACTTACTCACTTCCATTGAAGCAGAAAAGCGTTCTCCTCTCTTGTTTTAGAATGAGCAGAGGAAAAGTTAGGATGAGCTTGAAAAGAAAGAGGAGCAGCAGTTGCCTACCAAGAGTTTGCAACCAGGAATGGGAAAATCATGGCAGGCTATTTATTCATTTGTTTGTTTATTTTTTAAGAGATGGAGTCTCACCATGTTGCCCAGGCTGGACTCGAACTCCTGGTCTCAAGCGATCCTCTAGCCTCAGCCTTCCGAGCAAACATGGCAGGTTTTGAACCATCTTCCACAGTCCCAGAGCAGAAGACAGTGGCACTAAGCATCCCCAAAGCAGGAGACAAGCAGCCCCATGCGGACATAGCTCCTTGGGTTTCCTAGGGTCTCCTCGGCACTGGGGCCCAGGAGGCACAGCCCCTCTCCCCACCTCATGTTGCTGTCTTGACTGGAAGCTGCCCCATCTCCTCTTTACCTGCCTGGACTTACTTGTCCTGGGGAATGCCACCCATGTCAGGTCCCCTGGGAGGGCACTGGCTCTTTCCTTGGTTTCAGATAAGCGACTGTCAGCCGTCGGCCCTATGTATAAGAGGCACATGTGGCAGGATGAGGAAGAGACTGGTGAGAGGCAGCTGGAGGGACATAGACCCCACAAACAGACAATAGGCTCAAATCGGGACTCCACAGTGCCCTGGTGGTGTCCCCTTGGGTAGATTACTGAACTCACAAAGCTTCTGTTTCCACATCTGTGAGATGGGGATTCAGAACCTCTTTCCTGGTGTTGTCTCAGGAATGAATGAGAACATGCATGAGAAGCACTCAGTCAAGGCTCAGTCCCTTTAACACCTGGACCCTTTCCCAGCTGCCCAGCCTGTGTGTCTCCACAGACCACAGACATGCGTCAGTCAGGTTGGGACATCTCTCATGGCCCATTTTCCTACCCTCAGCCCCAACAGTCTTACCTTGCCTGAGGCATCAGTGCTGGAGCTGAAAGGCCGGTGGTGAACACTAAACCTGGAGCTGGACATTCAGGCCCTGACTGCAGTGAGCGTTCACCAGGTACCCGAGCCTTGGCCAAGCCACTGATCTCATTCACAGAGTTATGACCAGCTCTTCCAAAATCTGCTGAGATTGCACGTGCAAAGGTGCTGCTTAACTGTACATTTCTAGTCATTTGTAATATCTTAAGACTAACATTTGCTTAGGGTCTCTCCCTGGCTTGACCTGTAAGTTGGGGAAGGTGTAAAAATAAAAATCAATTGTAGATCTCTCAAAGGGCACAGCTCAGTTAAGAAGTAAGAGCTTAGTAGGCCGGGCGTGGTGGCTCATGCCTGTAATCCCAACACTTTGGAAGGCCGAAGTGGGTGGATGACGAGATCACGAGTTTGAGACCAGCCTGGCCAACATGGTGAAACCCCATCTCTACTAAAAACACAAAACATTAACCGGGTGCAGTGGTGCACACCTGTAGTCCCAGCTACTCAGGAGGCTAAGGCAGAAGAATGACTTGAACTCGGTAAGCAGAGGTTGCAGTGAGCCGAGATTGCACCACTGCGTTTCAGCTTGGGCGACAGAGTGAGACTTCGTCTCACAAAAAAAAAAAAAAGAGAGAAATAAGAGCTTAGCATTGTGAGTAGACATTTCAGCTGTCCTCAGGAACTGAAAACCTCAACAGGGAGATAAGACTCAAACAGAGAAACAGGTTTCTAAGAAGTGCCTAGGACAGAATAGCAAGGCCAGCACACTCAGAGAAGAGAACATGTGGAACTGCCATAGTCAGTGCCCACCTAAAACAAAAGGGGGCATTTGAAATGGACCTTGTAGACTTAAGTCTGGGCTCAGTGGCGCACACCTTTAATCCCAGCAATTTGGGAGGCCAAGGTGGGAGGATTGCTTGAGCACAGTAGTTTGAGACCAGCCTGGGCAACATAGCCAGATTCTATCTCTATTTGAAAATAAATAAATAAATTAGCAGGGCATAGTGGCATGCACCTGTGGTCCCAGCTACTCAGGAGGCTGAGGTGGGAGGATTGCTTGAGCCTGGGAGGTTGAGGCTGCAGTGAGATGTTATCACACTACTACACTCCAGCCTGAGTGACAGAGAATGACTCAAAAAAAAAAGAATAAGACTTAAGTGCCCAGGGATCCTACTTTCTTTAACTTTTATTTCGTATGTTCTGATGAATTTCACAGTTTTACAGCAGTGGGCTCCATTTTTTAATGAAATCTTGAGCCAAAGCCCCTAATATAAAACCACACATTGATATTTCACTGGCACAAATTTATGCTACTTCAAATCTACAACAGTAGTTAAAGATTCAATCAAGAAATAAGGCTGGGCCAGGCACGGTGGCTCACGGCTGTTATCCCAGCATTTTGGGAAGCCGAGGCAGGTGGATCATGAGGTCAGGAGTTGAAGGCCATCCTGGCTAACATGGTGAAACCCCGTCTCCACTAAAAATACAAAAAATTAGCTGGGCTTGGTGGCGGGCGCCTGTAGTCCCAGCTACTTGGGAGGCTGAGGCAGGAGAATGGTGTGAACCCAGGAGGCAGAGCTTGCAGTGAGCTGAGATCTTGCCACTGCACTACAGCCTGGGCAACAGAGCAAGACTCTGTCTCAGAAAAAAAAAAAAAGAAGAAATGAGGCTCAGTGTGGTGGCTTACGTCTGTAATCCCAGCACTTTGGAAGGCCGAGGTGGGTGGATCACCTGAGGTCAGGAGTTCAAGACCAGCCTGGCCAATACGATGAAACCCTGTCTCTACTAAAAATATGAAAATTAGCTGGGCATGATGGTGTGTTCCTGTAATCCCAGAGGCTTGGGAGGCTGAGGCAGGAGAATTGCTTGAACCCAGGAAGCGGAGATTGCTGTGAGCTGAGATCATGCCAATGCACTCCAGTCTGGGTGATAGAGCAAGATTCCATCTCAAAAAAAAAAAAGAAATATCACAACTTTTTAAATCAAAATTTTATTTAGCAAATTAAGAAGTGCTATTTATTTAACAAGAATTTGAAATACTAATAACAGCCCTACCACCCAGCTTATTTCTATGCATTGTTTTAGTTGCAGCACTGTGAGAAAGGTCTGGGCCACTCACATAAGCAAGTGTGCAGGCTGATGTTTTTTAAATCATTTTGCAACCTCGAGATGCTTTTTCAGCAAATTGATCTTGGTTAAGCATTGGCAAAATTTTCTGTAAAGGGTCAAGTAGTACATATTTTAGGTTTTGTGGGTCTTATGGTCTCTGTTACAACTACTTAACTCTGCCTTTGTATCTCAAAAGCAGCCACAGACCACGTGTAAACAAATAAGCGGGGCCATGTTCCAATAAAACTTTATTTACAGACACAAATTTTAATTTCATATAAATTTCACATTTCACAAAATATTTTTGTTCCAACGTTAAATCATGAATCAAAAAAAGCTCTAAGTGACTGTTTCAAATCATTAATTAGTAAGTATTCAATCTGGAAAAAATCAAAGAACCTTTCTCCATTTCTGGTGAAAATATTCTTTTAATATATCTTTTGAAACATTTTGAATCTTAAACAATGTCATTAAAATAAAAAATCTTAGATACTGTAATGCTCATCTTTGCAAAATATTTAAGCAAAGTTTTAAAAGTCAGATTTCTTTACTCTTTCAGGTTGAGTTTAAGTTTTTCTTTTATTTTTAACTGCCAACAATTTTTCTGAAGTTGTAATCACCATAACGTTGCAACCTTCACAGCCTGAATTGAATTTGTTCCGTTCATTAAAAATATCAGCAAAACATGCAAATTGGAGCAAGCATGTTATATCTGGAGGTATTTAGCTGGGTAGAGTTCCTACATTTGTAAAAGGAAAAAATACATATATATGTGTGTCCAGTCATGTGCCACATAACAATGGTTTTGGTCGATGATAAAGTGTGATGAGACAGTTGTCATGTAAGATTATAATGTCTATTGTCCTGTAAGATGAAAAATGCCTATTGCCTACTAATATTGTAGCTGTCATAAAGTTGTAGAGCAATCACTTTAGAATGATTTTAGTGTAGTCTAAGTGTAGTGCTTATAACATCAGCAGTGGTATCATGTTCTAGGCCCTCACATTCACTCACCACTCACTGACACCCAGAGCAACTTCCAGTCCTGCAAGCTCCATTCATGGTAAGTGCCCTCTACAAGTGCACCACTTTTTATCTTTCATGCGACGTTTCTCCTGTCTTTTTTCTATGTTTAGATACACAAATACTTACCATTGTGTTACAATTCAGTACAGTAAGATTCAGTACAGTAACATGCTGTACAGGTTTGTAGCTTGCAATAGTCTGTACCATAAAGCCTAGGTGTGTAATAGGCTATACTATCTATCTTTGTGTAACTGCACTCTGTGATGTTCACACAATGATGAAATCACCTAACAATACATTTCTCAGAACATACACCGGTTGTTAAGCAATGCATGACTATATATACGTGTGTGTGTGTGTAGGTATGTATATAGTGATTTTGTGTCACTATATATACATAGTGTCATTTAAATATTCCTACCGGTATTACATCTTCTCTACAGATAGACATCAAACTTTCCTATGAAAAGGCAAATTTTTACATACCTTTACAAATCATTGTTAATAAAATTGACAACTTCCACAGCAATATCCAGTGCCAAGTTGAAAGATCCTAGCGCAGTGTTTATCTGTGCAAATTACTATTGTAAGATAGCACCATTATCCTAAGCACCACTAAGACCAGACCACTTTCTTACATCTTAGAATGTTAATTTTATAATTGTTGGAAGTACGCTTTAAACTTATTAAAAACAATGTTAAATCACAGAGCACTGTTTCATAAAGTGAGGAATATATGGAGAACAAAATTGGTTGAGATGTTCATGACACATCTTCACGAAGTCCCGGTCTTCTGAACCACTTGGCAATTTAGAACCACCATTGTGTTTCTCACAGAGCCGCTGCCCGTAAGGAAGAAGCAGCTGCTAGAATGGGCTTCTCTTGTTCTCAGGACTCTGCCTCCTGCCTTCGACACCCAGATTCAATGTGAGAGGGCGAGCAGCGGCAACTGCCACCTGTCCACAACCTGGCCATCCTCAGGTGTAAACCCACTCAGAGACCGGACCGAGTGAAAACCCACGCGGCCCAGGGCCAATCGAGTGTGAGAAACCCATGTGGTTCCTCCTCCTCGTGCTGCTGCCCTGGGGCTACAGACGCTGCTGCATTTTTGCTGATTTACTCCGTGGTGTGTTTAAAAACTAGCGGAATGGAGTGTTTGCTTTTTGGCCCTCTTGAATGTGTCAGGTTTTACATCCAACAAATCTTGCTCATCTTGGTGAACATATTTAGCAAAAACCATTACAATGAAGAAACCCAGCACATGGGTACTCTTACCCAGATGAACCGCAGAATGTCCCAATCTCAGCTTTTGGTCTCAGCCATCAAGTCAGCGCCAAGCTTCTCAGCTCCTTCTCTGGGCTCTGTTATCAGATGGTGGCATATTTTGCTGCTCATTTTATCCACTTCATGCCAAGTTTACCTAATAAGTTAGGTTTTTTCTCATTGTATAACTTCAGCTGATGTGTGTAATAGAGGTAACTTCTGTTGCACAGACCCATGCATGTATTTTATGTGCTGGTATAATTTGTTTTTATATATTTTTCAGTAACATTCCATTCGCACTGAAATAAGATGAAAGCCCTATTTTTATGTTTTGTTTTATCTTCAAAAGATATCTTAGTTTGGCAGGAACAGCATAAGCATACTAAGGGAATGAAAAGATGTTTGTCATGATAAGTGATGCACCCAGAGAGGCAAGTATGACCTCACTCTCTGGACTTCAAGAGGCCATTTTCACTCCGTTGCTTTTCTGTCTTACAGTTTGTCATTATGGGTGGCAACTGAGTGAGAACTGATTGGCACATTGGTATGACATCATTTTGCCATGAGCCTAGCCAATGTCTTTGCACATATCAGAAAGTCCTTTATTTAATGTCTCATTTTAAACAAGTAATCAAGTTCCAGTTTTTTTGTTTTGTTTTGTTTTTGGGATGGAGTCTCACTCTGTCTCCCAGGCTGGAGTGCAGCGGCATGATCTCGGCTCACTGCAAGCTCCGCCTCCCGGGTTCATGCCATTCTTCTGCCTCAGCCTCCCAAGTAGCTGGGACTACAGGCGCCCGCCACCACACCCGGCTAATTTTTTGTATTTTTAGTAGAGACGGGGTTTCACCGTGTTAACCAGGATGGTCTCCATCTCCTGACCTCGTGATCCACCCGCCTTGGCCTCCCAAAGTGCTGGGATTACAGGTGTGAGTCACTGTGCCTGGCAAGTTCCAGTTTTTAATCATGGTTCAACTTTCCCTGAACACAAAGCATTCATAAATATAAAAGTAAAACAAAAAGCATGCAAAATGTATAATAACCGTGAAAACCACTGTTATGCCTTGACAAGACCATCTGCCAAGCAGGTGCAATGCTAACAATAACAATAACATCAATCAACAATGATCATAGCCAATGGTTTTGGGGCCTTACCAAGGGCCAGGCACTGTTCTAGGTTATTTGCACGAATTGGCTATTTAACCCTCGCAATTACACTGTGAGGTAATATGATTAGTATCTATTTTACAGATGAAGAAACTGAGACAGCAGGAGATAACTGAGGTTGCATGGACAGAGAATGACAGCATAGGGACCCATCCTGGAGTCTAGGCTCCTACCTGCTGTTTTATACTGCTGCTTTTGTCATCTCGCTGTTGTCACTTGAACAAACTGACGTAAGTGACCACCTATAGAGCTATGGACTTTGTAACCCTTGGCTCATATTAAGAAAGTCTAATGAAGTGCACAAAAGGGCAAGAGCGCCTTTACTCTAAGGTTAACACAAAAACAGCCTGATGAGTTTGTCTAAATTTTGCTTACAGTCCACCCAAGTGTGTGCTGTGGCGTGAATGGATTAATGTTGTCTTGGAAGTGGGTTTGTTATTGTGAGAGTGGGTTTGTTTGTGAGTTTGCTCTGTGGTCCCTCTGGTTCTGGCCTACCCTGATTTGACTATCACACATTGCATACATGTATTGAAGTATTATTCTATATCCCATAGATATGTACAATTATTACTTGTCAATTAAAATAAAAGAAAAAAATGAGTTCAGCACCTCTTGCTCACACACGCTCTCTTGCCCTTCTACCTTTCAACATGGGATGATGCAGCAAGAAGGTCCTTGGTCCTTGGCAGATGCCAGCCCCTTGATCTTGAACTTCCCAGGCTCTAGAACTGTAAGAAATAAATATCTGTTCTTTATGAATTGCCCAGTCTATGGGATTCTGTTATAGCAGCAAAAAATAGTCTAAGGCCGTATCACTTTTCATAATTAAAATATATATTGAATATAGATATGTATGTGTATGTGTGTGAGAGAGAGAAATGAAAATGAAAAGGAAGAAGTAGATATAAATTTCATGTTGAGAGATTTATCTGAATCTATACATTCAAATCTTTAATGTTTTCTGAAATTAACATTTATAAAATCTGTTTGATGGATATGTAGTGTTTGCTGTGTTATTCTCTGTATTTTTTCTGTCTGGTTGAAATATTTTACAACTAAAAAAAATAAGGAAACACCAATCGAATGTTTGCAGAACTGTGAAACACCACCACAAGGGCTGAGGTCCCTCCCTAGGAGCCTGAGCTTTGACAAACAGAATCACCCAATAGTTGGACCCCAAAGGGATGCAGAGCCAACAGAGGCAGACACTGGCCTGTGGTCCCTCTGGTTCTGGCCTGCACAGCCCCTCTGCCTGGAGCTCTCTGCCTGGGCCTCCTTCCCTACTTCACAGTCTGTGAACACCTCACCCTCAGGGCTCCACCTCCTGAATGGCCCCACTCACTGTCTCTAGTGCATTCCTACTTCCTTCCTGGCCAGCACAGTGCTGTATGTATTTACTTACCCACTGTACACTCCTTCTGCAACAGGCCTCTGCGAGTCTAAGCCAGGCCTGACAGCAGGCACCCATGAAACATGGCTCAGTGAATAAATCAGCACATGCCATCACTGTGGTGCCACTTCTCAGAGAGCTCCTTTTGGTTTGGGCAAAGCATCTCTGATTTCCCTTGACTACACTAACCAAGAGGTTGCACAGTCAAACTTGCTTTCTACTTTCTGCTAGCTGGCCAGATCTGAGGAGCTGCCTGCGGAGGCTCCCCCAGGCACAGCATGAGGAGGTGATGGGGCTGCAGTTCAGCCCCTCATATGTGACTGAGGAGCCGCCTTGGCCATCTCAGTGCCAAGAAGGTGTGTGGTCGGCTGAAGGAGAGCAAGACATCTGGGCCAAACCAATCAAGGATTCATGATCTCAACCCCGAGCAGTGACAAGGCCAGCAAGGTGTCTAGAAAAGGTATTTGAATGGAAGCTTGTCACTTTAGGGACAAATAGGGTGGTGGGGGAAGAATGCATGCATCCAAGAAGGAGGAAGCTATAGGAACAGAGTTATAGCCCAGAGCTATTCATGGCACTGTGAGAATGGTGGTGGGAGCAGGGATGAGGGATGGGCTGAGGATGAGCAGAGGTGAGGCCATGCATGGAGTGGACACAGTGCCCTATGCCAGGCTAAGAGCTGTTCTAGATAGTCTAGACTATATACCTAAAGTTTGCAAAGCACAAAGCTTTTCCATGTTACTTTATTTAATCCTTGCAATCATCCTGCAGGGAAGTCACTGTTCCCATTTTATCAGTGACCATACTCCAGTTTAGAGAAGCTAAGCACTCGATCAAATTTACAGAGGCAGTAAGCAGACACATCAGACTGGAAGGTGGCTATTTTAACTCTAAGACCACTATAGAACCATTCCTTTTCCTCTTGGTCACAAAACAAAATTTTATGAGACTGATTTCTTAAGCCCAACCCTTTCTCCTTCAAAGAGGGTATTCACTCTTGGACCCTGGTTGTGCACAGGATTGATTCAACACAGTGACAAACTGGGACCCCAGGTTTGGAGACATCCTCAGATCAGAGGCTCAGAGTTGGCCCTGGATGTTGGACAGCTGATGATGCCAGCGGGGCCCCCATTCGGACTGAAGCCATCATGATGGGAAGCATGGGTGAGTTACAGTCTGTGGCCACTGAGGGCAGGCAGAGGCTGGGACTGAAGTGTGTGTCCTCCCTTGTAGGCTCCCTGCATCTCCCGGGGGGTGCACTGACCCTGACAACACCACCCTCCAGGGGCAGCCTGTGCTTGTCTAAACACACCTGCTCAATGCACTGACGAAAATGAGTAACTATTGCTCTTCTTGGCTTCCTGCAGACTCACTGTGATCATCTTGCTTCTCTCAGGATTGCCTGTTGTCAACGGAGGTGCTGGGGTGGCAATCATGTCCACTTTTAGGGAAAGGATCCTACTGATTGGCTTCAGTTCTGTGGGTGAACACCAAACCCTCACAAAATAAGCAAGCTGGGAAGGGGTCTAAACTCACGTCTGCTTCCTTTTGGCTGTCTCTGGACAACATGAGAAGAATCTGGAAGGCCTGTGCCCATCTTTCATTCTGGGCTCATGACACCTGCACCAGCAAGGAACTGACCATAAATCAGCCACGTTTAACAACACAATGGGACCAGTTCAGCCAGAGATTGATGGTGGCTCTTTTCTGCTTCCAGGTTGGGGGACCCTTAAGATGGCATAAGAAGCTAAAGGGAGAAAATACGCCAGTTCCACGCAGCAGTCAGAAGATCTTTTCCTGCAACCTCTGAAGGGATAGGAACAAAGAACCTCAAGAATGGGAACAATCTCAGAACAGTTGAGATCAGTCCTGCCTTGAAAACTCTGTTGTTCTTTGACTCCGCACGCCCTTGACAAATTCTCTATGAAACCGCAGTAAAAGTGAACCTCCTTCAGCTGAGAAATGGAGTGGCAGAACTGGGCTCTCCTTTCTTCTTGCTGTGTGACCTTTGGAGCATCCTTGCTAGGATCTGAATGTTTGTGTCCCCCAGATTCCTATGTTGAGATCCTTATCCCATCTTAATATCCTATTAATATCCTTAATAGCCTATCTTAATACAGGGTGATGGTATTAAGAGGTGGGGACTTTGGGAGGTGATTAGGTCATGAGGGCAGAGCCCTCCTGAATGAGATTATTGTCCTTCAGTGGAGACCCTAGAGAGCTTCCCCCTCCCTTCCACCATGGGAAGATGCTGCCAGAAGGCACCACCCAGGAACAAGGAAGTGGCCCTCACCCAACTCAGAACCTGCTGGCACCTAGATCTTGGACTTCCAGCCTTCAGAACTGTAAGAAATAAGTTTCTCCTGTTTATAAGCCACGCAGTCTATGGTATTTTGTTATAGCAGCCAGAACAGACTAAGACAGTCATTTAATCTTTTTCTCTATTTATAAAAAGACAATTCAGGGTGACCTCATCATCTCTTGCTTTTTCCCCTCTCTCCTCCTGCCCCACATCTTTCCCAAGAGATGGAGATGCTCAGAGGAGGCACAGGCTGTAGCAGAACCCTGCAGGATTTGAGGCGGGCAGTGGGAGGGGACCCATCCTACAAGTTAGGAAGACTGAGGAGTAGAGGCTCATAAACGAGCATCACAGATCTCTAATCCTATGTGAGTATCCAGGATTGATTAAACACACTGGAAGTTCCTTCTCAACAACTATGCCATTTCTTTTTTTTTTTTTTTTTTTGAGATGGAGTCTCGCTCTGTTGCCCAGGCTGGAGTACAGTGGCACGATCTCGGTTCACTGCAACATCTGCCTGCCAGGTTAAGCAATTCTCCTGCCTCAGCCTCCTGAGAAGCTGGAACTACAGGTGCCCACCACCACGCCCGGCTAATTTTTTGTATATTTAGAAGAGACAGGGTTTCGCTGTGTTAGCCAGGATGGTCTTGATCTCCTGACCTCGTGATCTGCCCGCCTCAGCCTCCCAAAGTGCTGGGATTACAGGCATCAGCCACCACACCCAGCTGCCATTTCATTAAGGTCCATTTGATATCCATACTCCTCATTCTTAATGCCTATAACCCCCAAAATTTGCCTTCTCAAATTGTAATCTGTAAAAATTGTAAAACTTTAAGCCTTTTAAAATTGTCTTCTTTTACACCGTCTAATAGGAATAGCTTCCTACTTATCCACAAAGGTGCTGCTGGTGTGGTCCAGCTGTTAATGCATTTGTATGATTTGCTTGCAAATATTTCTCAAATTCAGTTCTTAGAAATCTCTGCACTTTCGTGTGTGTGTGTGTGTGTGTGTCCTACCTAACTGTTTTTTGTTTTCATACACTGAGTTGAAAATTTCAAGGACTTTTCCACACTAACTCCTAAATCCCATTTCCGTTTTCCTGTTTATCTTAAGTAGGATTTAGATAATGTGTGGCTAAGTAGACACAAATACTACCAGAAAAGAAAGGGGGAGGGGAGGAAGAGGGAGGAAGAAGGTAGGGAGTGAATCTTCCGGAGGTGACAGAGAGCAAGCAGCATAAGGAAGAAGTATGCTCGCTGGACCAGCAGGCCGTCCTTCGGCTGACAATACGGACTGCAAGTGCCCATATTTAATTTGACCAAGATGACCTTTCTTTTCATGGAAAGTTGGGGTTCAGCCCTTGAATTTCATAAGACCTCTCTTTGCGGTGGGCTAGATGCTCTTTTATCTTTTTATACTCTGTCAGGAAAACATATTTTTTCCATATAAAAATCAGTCTTCTAAAGTGATGGTGAGTCAATTATTGGGATTTCAGGAACTAACTTCTCCTTATAAGCAGTGAATAAAACCAAGAGAAACAAGCCTTGCCTCTGCAGAAGCTGCCCCCCTTTGTCCTGGCTGGTCCCCTTTCTATTCTGGGCGTATCTGGCAGGGTCTCTAGGAGGTAACAGAGTGAGAAGGGTCTGATTTCCAACAGAGGTCATTAGAGAGCTGGTCATAATACAAGGTGTTGGAATTAGCACATCAAGCATAAGAAGATAGAATGCTTATAGAGTTTTAAAACAGGGTCTTAACATTTCATTTCTCCCCATCTTGTTTGTACTCTTCATGCACACTGTTGATAAACAATGACCATTTCTATTTGCATAGCTTTGCAGTTTACAAAGGTTTTTACTTCTGCTATTTTGGTGAATCCTTACAACTTGGCATAGGGTGTATTTCTACTAGTATCTTCACTGTATAGAGAGTAAACTAAGGTTAAGAGATGAGTGACCTCACTGGGAAAACTTGGTATAGCCAGGGGTTGAACCTACATATTCCAAATATGGGATTGGAATTCCAAATTGGGACCCTTTGTTGTGCCACAGGTATTTCCCAATGTATGGTTTGACAAGAACCAGTAACTTCAATCCAGGCCCTATGTGAATGCGATGGTTAATACTGAGTGTCAACTTGATTGGATTGAAGGATACAAAGTATTGATCCTGGGTGTGTCTGTGAGGGTGTGGCCAAAGGAGGGTAACATTTGAGTCAGTGGGCTGGGAAAGGCAGACCCACCCTTAATCTGGGTGGGCACAATCTTATCAGCTGGCAGAAAAATGTGACAAGAGAGACTGACCTAGCCTCCTAACCTACATCTTTCTCCCTTACTGGATGCTTCCTGCCCTCGAACATCAGACTCCAAGTGCTTCAGTTTTGGGACTCGGACTGGCTTTCCTTGCTCCTCAGCCTGCAGACAGCCTATTGTGGAACCTTGTGATCATGTGAGTTAATACTTAATAAACTCATATATATATATATATATATATTCCATTAGTTCTCTCTCTCTAGAGAACCCTGACAATACAGTAAATTATATAATTTCAAATTATTTGGGTAAAAATTGATAAGATTTCACTATAATTTATCCTCGAGCAAAAGGGCAAACTCACTTAAGAGTAATAAGTCATGACTCCTATCTAAATCCTCCTGCGGGAGGAGGGGGCAGAGAAAAAACAGTTACTAGAAAATTCTCAGTTGCTCTGAATTATGCTCCTCCTTCAGTAACTTTAGAAAAACTGAAAGAATAAACAAAGCCCCGAAACCAGCTTCAAATGATCTCAGGCTGTTTCACTGGTGTGCTGACTGAGTTCGTAAGCTAGCGCCTTCTTTATGAGATAACCTGGCCGGTGAATAAAGGAGAGCTTCAGCCGACGCTGGGGAGGAGCAAAGGGAAAGCACGGGATGGGTTGTTCCCATCAGCACAGCCTGAACTTTCACACACCCCCTGCGCCCTGCTTTGTGAAAGACTGAAGGGCATTTAGAGACCTGACCTAGTTCTAGCAGCCAGCTCAGGGGGAATGTAAGAAGACACCACGTCAGGGCCAAAAACCCCATTTCTGCCTGCGTGATGGAGGTTCCAGCAGTAGCTGCAGATACCTGGGAGGACTGTGTGGGCCATCTAAGGACAAATCACATCCTGGCAGTGGAAGTGAGGCAGGGTCGGAGGGGAGTCTGGGCTGGTCTGGGCAACAGAATGAGACCTACTCCCCTAAAAAATAAATGAAAGAAACAAATAATGTTAACTTTAGCAACATTTAATTTAACCCAATATAGCCAACACACTATCATTTCAACCCATCATCAATATAAAAATTGTTTTATTTTCAGTATGTATTTAAGGTGCACAACCTGATATTTTGATATACATATATGTAGTGAAGTGATTACTACAGTCAAGCAAATTAACATACCCATTATCCATATAGTTAGCTACTGCGTATGTGTGTGTGAGTGTGTGTGTGTGGTTAAGCGTATCTAAAATCTACTCTCTTAGCACATTTCCAGTATACAACACAATACAATATTATTAACTGTGGTCCTCATGTTGTACATTAAATCTCTTAGACTTATTCATCTTACATAACTGCAACTCTGTACCCTTTGATGGGCATCTTCCCATCCTCCCTGCCCTCTCCACCACCACCCTCAAAATTGCTAATGTGCTGGGTGCGGTGGCTCACGCCTGTGATCCTAGCACTTGGAGAGGCTGAAGTGGGAGGATCACTTGAGCCCAGGAGTTTGAGACCAGCCTGGGTGAACTGGTAAAACCCTGTTTCTACAAAAAATACAAAAATTAGCTGGGTGTGGTGGCATGTGCCTCTAGTCCCAGACACTCAGGAGACTGAGGTGGGAGGTGCCCGGGGAGGTCGAGGCTACGGTGAGTCGTGATTGCACCACTGCATCCCAGCCTGGGCAAGAGTGAGATCCTGTCTAAAAAAAGTAAATAAATAAAAATTGTTAATGTGAGGTTTTATGTTCTTCTTTTTGCCCTGTCTTCCTAACTTGACATGGATATTATCCTTATAGCACATTTCAGTTTAGACCCAGTTCAAGCGCTGGACTGTGACAGGGGTCTTGGGGCTCCATATCGGACTCTGAAGTTGTAAAGTATTCTGTTGCATAAATCTACCAGAATTTGTATCAAGGAAAAAAGATGACAAGCTAAAGTGGAAGAGATCGTTTGATTTTTTACAGCAGAACTTCTCAGAGCTCTCAGTAGCATAAAATACGTTCTGAAACTCTAGGATGACATAGCAGGCACTAGCATTTGTCAAACGAGAAATTATTAAATGAACTTTTCTTGTGCAAATGGATGAGAATTGGAAGAACACATGACAAAATAAAAGTTGGATAGAGTGATTCGATTTGAAAAAATTTCAGGTTATGCCACATAGATGTACAATAAATGAAAACTATTTTTTGGCTGGGCACAGTGGCTCACACCTGTAACCCCAGTGCTTTGGGAGGTCAAGGCAGAAGGATCCCTTCAGCCCAGGAGTGTGAGAACACCCTGTGCAACCTAACAGACCTATTGCTACAGAAAATTTTGCTGAGTGTGGTGGTGCACACCTATAGTCCTAACTACTGCAAGACTGAGGTGGGAGAATCACTTGAGCCCAGGAGTTCAAGGCTTCAGTGATCTGTGATCACCCCACAGCACTCCAGCTCTAGCCTGAGTGACAGAGCGAGACCCTGTCTCTATAAGAAGCAGGAGGAGGAAGAGGAGGAAGAGGAGGAAGAGGAGGAGGAGCAGAAGCAAACTATTTTTTAAACTTGTTTGTCTCTGAGAAGAGAAACAAGCTAAATGCTATGGGTCAGTAATAACTTGGTAGAAATGCCCTCAGCTGGAATTTTCCAGCACCACAGCAAGTGGAGAGCCAGCAGGATGGAGACCGGGCTGATGCAGGGGACTAGGGAGAGGAGGGAACACCCACTGTACAGGTAGCTGGATGCGACAAGCATGGCCTCACAGCTCTGCTGCTCAGAGAATGCCACTTGTGCTCAGTTGAGCTGCCCTTCCCCAGGTCCCTCCATTTCCAGCTCCCGTTTGCCACTTAGCCACTCCCTGGCATATTTCAGGCCCTGTCTCGGTCTGCCCACAGCCAGTTCCCACCTACTACTTCGTAGGGTCATTGCTGTTGCGCCTCCATGGACAGAAGGCAATTCAGATGCCATCTCTGTGGCTGAGTGAGTGCTGCATGCCTGAGATCCCTGGGGAAGCCTCTCGGTGAGGCTGCAATTCCAGGTCACCATGTAGGGCTTCCATTCACAACAGTAAGTGGCCACCTTCTCAAAGATACTGAGTTTGGTCGTGTTAGAGCAACTTTCTTTTGAGGACCTCAAAGTGGCTTCACATCCTCCATCTCCCTGCAGCCGATAACCTTTCTGGTAAAGCTTCAGAGGACAAAGACAGGTACCCAGCGCAGAGACAGCCAGGCCTGTGGTGGTCCTGTCCTGGAGAAAAGGGTGCCCTCTGGCTCCCAGCCCTGCCTCCCAGGTGGTGACTGTCCGTTGTCCCAGTGGGCTCTGGCTCCCGAATGCTGAGCTCTGATGCAGCAGATGTGAATAAAGCCACAGTCTGAGGGTGAATCTCTAAACGACACCTGTGCGTGATCACTGGAAGGAGGCTCAGAGAAGACAGCCTTTCCTAGCAGGCAAAAGGAGACAAAGAGATAACTTTTCCATACGAGAATTATTTTCTGTGATTTAATGTGACTCATTTATTGACTGCTTTCAAACCCCTGTGTTGCTTTGGTTGATACTGACACTTCAGCAAAGGGAGAATGGTCACTGTCTTAGTCCATTCCAGCTATTATAACAAAATGCCTTGGGCTGGGCATCTTCCAAGACACAGAAACTCCTCCCTCACTGCTGTGGAGGCTGGAACTCCGTGAAGAAGGTGCCAAAGATTCTGTATCTGGTGAGGGCTCATTTTCTGGTCCACAAACAGCACCTTCTTTCTGTGTCCTCACATGGCGGAAGGGATGAGGGAGCTCTCTGGGATGTCTTTATAAGGTCCCTCATCCAACTCATGAGGGCCCCACCGTCATGGGCTAATCACCTCCCAAAGGCCCCAACTCCAAATACCATCACACTGGAGGTTGAAATTTCAAAACATGAATGTTGGGGTGAGGGGGAACAAACATTCAGACCATAGCAGTCCCCTTAATTTGTTTGTTTCTCTCACTTGCTATCTTTGAAAGAAAGTTTCAATACACTGAGTGCTTCCCAAGAGCTCTCACACATAATCACACCACGCCTGACATCCACTCTCCCAAGTATTACTGGTTTTCTTTACAACATTGATGGGGCACAGAAGCTGGATTACGGAAGAAACTTTTACTTGTTTGTCCAGAAAATGCAAAAGAAAACAACGACTATTTTTGAGCAAGGGGAAAACGTAAATTTCTAAAAATCCTATCCAAGTGCTGGCAAGAAGAGGAACAGGTCCTCTTCTCGCTCCTCTCTGTCTGTCCCTGGAGCCCAAGTTTTGTCCCCACACCTCACTGCCTCCTGCCTCTCAAATCCCTACCTGGAAACATGTGGCAATAATCTCAATTATGATAGCAGTGCAGAGGGGAGTCCCTATTTTACAGATGAGGTAAATGAATAATCTGTCCAAGGACAGAAACCAATAGGAAGCAGGCTAGGATGCAAACCTGGTCCCTGAGTGCATGACATCAGCCCAGCATGACCAGGGCAGTCCTAAGTCCTTCACCAGCCTGTCTGAATGGACAAATGAGAAGTGATCCCCTCCCAGCTCAACACTAGGAACCTGACCCCTTCCCCATCCTGCCTTCTTGGGATATCTGAGGACCAGAGAGGTAGCTCCCGAGGCAAGGGCTGGAGGCAGAAAGAGGGCGACATGGCCCACCCCAACACTGTCCGCCCAGCACACACTGACTGTCTGAGAGCTGAACCCTCAGACTAAGGCACTCCCCCACTTTCACTTTGACAGGACTTCTCTGCTCCTGCTGGCTCTTCTAGTTTTCTTGGCATTCTAGTCTTGCCAGGTGGCAGCACTTTGCTGAAACACTTGTGCAATCTCTATTCTTGAGCCGGTTCTATGAAGAGCTAGCCTTGCCAGGCAGACTAGCCAGGCAGGAAGGAGGACAGCCCTACCCTGTGCATCCTGAACCCACCAGCCTGTGACCAGGGGTAGTCCAGGCATGCTTGAGGTCATTCCTCAGTTTCCTACCCATCAACCATGATCTCCCTCTGGCATTTCCACATCATTTATATCCTTGTGTTTCTGTACCATTCTCTAATTATTTTTTCTAAATTCCTTTGGAAAAGGATTTGTGAACATTGCTATATCCTTAGTTCTAAGAATATATGAATTGTAACTAAAAAGAATGTATTAATTCCCAATTTACAACGTGCTTGTCATAGATCGCCATTGTGTTGCTAATTCCTTTCCATTACTCTCCTGATTGTCCTCCAAATGTGCTAGCTCTTTGTCCTTCTGATTGGTCCTCAGTGAGCCATGGTTGCATCAGGCCAGGGCTCCATCCAGTGGAGCTCCTAGTTGGGTAGCAGTGGGCACAGCGAGCCCAACTCACCTGGTTGAATCCGGAGTCGAAGTTCTCCACCCTCCACTTGGGCCCCCACTGGGGACGGAGCATAAAGGGGTGTGCCCTTATTTTCTTTTTTTTTTTAACTCATTATTATGGAAAATTTTAAATATATATAAAATTACAGACAATATTTAATAATCCAAAGTATCCATTACCTGGTTTTAACAATTATCAACACATGGCAGATAGTATTTTTTCTGTACCCCCAGCAATTAACTGCTGCCTACCCTGACTACGGTAATAATAAATACTAGTATGAACAAATATCGTATCATTGCATATCTAAGTATTTCCATTGATAGCTCTACAAGATAAGGGCTGTTTTTAAAAATATATGATTATGACAACATTATTCTTACTTTTTAAGAAACTAATGTTAGTCCTTAGTCTTATAATATACCCAGCCAGTGTTTGCATTTTCGCAATTGTCTTGTAATTTGTACTTCATTTGTTTGACTCTGGATTTAATAAGAAATTCATATACTGAGATTGGTTGATATGTCTCTGAAGTTTCTTTTTATCTACTTTTTCTATAAATCCTTCCTCTATTTTTCTTCGTCTTCTTTTTTTTTTTTTTTTTGAGACAGTTTCATTCTGTCCCCTCAGGCCCCCAAACAGCTGGGACTATGGTGCCAACGTGCCCACTGAATTTTTAAAAATTTTTAGTAGAGATGAGGTCTCATTATGTGGCCCAGGCTGAACTCCTGAGCTCAAGCGATCCTGCCAGCTCAGCTTCCCAAAGTGCTAGGATTACAGGCACAGGCACCTACACTTGGCCTTTTTTTTCCCTTTACAGATTCTTATTGGAGAAGAAACCAGGTCATTTGTCCTGCAGTTTCCCCCAGTCTAGACTTGCTGCTGTATTCTTATGGTGTCATTTAATATGTCCCTCTGACCCTTGGATTTTTTAAAAAAGTGGAAATTAGATCTAAAGGACCTAAATCACATTGAGGGTTGATTTTCTTTTCCTGGGCATGTATTTCCATCAGGAATGACCTTGACTCTTAGGACCCTTGAATGAAAGATACTTCAGAGAATATGACTCCATCCAGGGCAAGGGTACTGGGTGGGAGTTTCAAAGGGAAAGTCCCAGTGAGAAAAGAAGGACACTGGGGGCAAGACTGAAAGGTCTAAACTCTGTCTACCTCTGAGGCTGGCCCCTGTAACAACCACAATGTTGACCTGAAGCAAGCTGGAGTAGACTGTGTAACGCATTTTAACTGAAGTAATAGCAATTTTAGGATGTAAAGGCATCTTGTATTGAGGCAACAGGAGGCCAGCTTTATACATATTTGTATCTTGCCACAAACCCAGCGTCATGCCAGGTGAGAAGCAAGGAAAACATCCCGACTTGATTTATTAGAGGCCTGTTTCACATCTCAATGTGACGTTTGTAGATGCTACTATCAGAAATTTTTGTCCACGTGTGTTTGTAAATATACACTCACAGACCACTTGTGCCTTAGAGGGATACCGTGGAGCCTCACAGTCTTTAGCATTAGAGGGATATGGGTTCAAATCCAGTTTTTGCCACCCTCTAGCTGAGTAACTGTAGACAAAAGCCTTGGTCTTCTTGTCAGAAAAATTAGGATACTGTATCATTACTTACCTTATGGGTTGTGAACTTTAGAGAAAATGAGTATAAAATACCTAGTATAGGGTTCTCAATAAATGCACACATGCTATCACTGTCTCAGGCAGTAGGTTCTATTGAATCACATTCTTCTACAACTAGAAAACAGCAATGTAGATGATCTCCTAGGGGTTGGGAGGGGATGATCTGTGAAAGTGTTGGAGTCATCTAGACACACTGAGTGGAGATGTAATTTGAGCCTGGGAGAGAATTCTCAAGTCAGTTCAAAGGGCTATAATTTCATTAATTCAAAATCCCACTTAAGTTGGGGAAAGTGAGGTCTTAGGAGAGAAGCCAGATGTCAAGGACAGGCCCAGTTAGTGGAGGAACTTTTTTGTAGCCAGCTGGCTCCCCAGGGCTCCCTGAACAAAGCATGCATTATAGTTGTTGCCTGGACTCCACGGCAGGAGGAGTACCCGGGAGCCAGAGCCTGGTGCATGGGGAGGAGGCGGGCCAGGGCCGCAGGGAGAGGCTTGGATGCCCTGGAAACACAACTGGATCCTGACAAAATCTTTCCTCCTGCTAAAATTTTCTCAAACAGAACAAAAGGGAAAGTCAGAGCATCTTTGCCAAATCAACCAGAGAAAGGAAAGCTGGCGCAAAGTTAATCATTATTTTCTTCCTGGTTGTCCAGGCCAGAGACACCCATGATGGGAGCAAGAACACTTGTCATCACTCGCTTGGTCTCTATGGATGACATAGGAGCCCTTTCCTTCCAAACAAGCAATACAGGAAAGGAAGTGCCTGGGTCCCCACCCTGTAGGGTGCAGCCAGAGCCCACAATGCACTATTCTCTGCAGATCAAGAGGCTTCTAATCTTACCTTGACTCACCGCCTTATCCAAACAACAGAGCCCCTGCAAAACCCCTCCTTTGGGGAAGGAAATCCCGGGTGGGATAATTCATTGCAAACATCATTGGTTAGTCCAGGGAGAGGTCAGGAGCTCCCTGGGGCAGGCACATCACTCTGGTCCTGAAAGAAAAGACTCCACCATGGTGCCCTTCAGCATCACTGAGAAACGATTCCTAGATTGCTGGTCTGTCCTGCCAAAGCAAAATTACTGACAAGATGTAACAGGCACTTGGTACAACAGTGTAGCACCAGCTTTTGCATTAAAAAGCTTAGCTTTGAGTTTGGGATATGCCACTTCCAAGCAGTTGGACCTTGATCAATGCATTGACCCTCAGGGAGCCTTGGTTTTCTCATTTGTGAGGTGGACAGAATGAGAGGATGGTGAAGGGCGTGGAGCAGAGGCAAGGAGGGTCTCCCTGGCTTGTCTGCTGGGTCTGCTGCAGCCTACAGAGAAACCACAGGCTGTCATAAGCACATAACTCAGTAGTCCACTTCCTCTCTAGGACACCCAGCAGTCCACAGCGTTGCTCCCATGGAGACAGCCGGCACAGCCTGCAGGCCATCAGCCCAGGAAGGGAACTGGCAAATCTTAGAGCACTAAGACAGCAGCTGATACAGATACTCGTCGGCCCAGGCCACACTAGCATGCAGGTGACTGGGTCCTGCCAGATGGAGCATGGGACAACATAAAACTCCCAGCATCCACTTCTCTAAAGGGCAGAGTATGCACACTAGGCCCACAGCCCCCTTCACGTCCAACATTGCCATCAACGCACTCAGGGCAGGGCAGTTCCTGGGATGTGGACCTGAGCCACAGCCCGGCCTTGTCAGTGCACCAGGTTCTGGGAGAGCAGCCTGACACAGAATGGTGGCAGACGCTCCACTTCTTAAAGAAACAGCAAATTGCGCAGTCCTTCCCTATTTCCCAGGCCTGGAGACTCCTCAGATGAGCATGGTAAAAATTTATATACTTATTCAGAGGTTTAAAGATCCCCCAGATACATAAATACATCAGCCAATCAAATGGCATTGCCATCAAAGGACAGCAGCCTTGGAATTTATCTATCCATCCTTCAACTGGCCATTTAGCTCAGTTTGGGCCCTTTACAATACAAGCATGATAAGGTCTCGTCACTGCGTCTCCAGGATCTGATCACTGCAGACTCTGAGAAGTGATTAGGGAGCATGGGCTCTGGAGGACCAACGCCTCTGACTCTCTATGGCCCCAGGCAAGTCTCCAGGTCTCCATTGCCTCACCTCTAAAGTGAAAGCACAATTAGTCACCGCCTCACCCGTTCCTGTGAGAAGTGAATGAGGTGGTAAAGGTGATGTGGCAGGAAGGGTCTAGAACATAGGTCAGTGCATGCTGACGGTACCCACATCGCACTGCCAGGGGCCTCGGGCTCTGCTCTAGCAGCTTGGCCTGGACCACGGAGCTCTTTGACCAGGACCTGCTCCACCTGAGGCTGATGCCCTTGAGGTGCCGCCTGGCCCAGTCACGCCCACGATCCTTTTCCAGGCTCCCCGAGAAGGAGAAGAACTTCCTTTCTGGTCCTTGGCATTCTGCTCCTGGGTTCAACCGAGCAGCTTCTAGGCAGCTCTAGTGATTCAGCAGCAGTGACCAGCAGGTCCCCAGGACAGCAGACGAGTCCTCTGCTTCTCTGGCTCCGCCTCCGTCCCCTGGCTCTTCCTGGAAACGTGCTTTCACTCAGCTTTGGGCCCACTTTCCCATCCCTCTGGGGACACACCCCCTCACTTGCCCTGAGACGCACACTTGAGACCCACACCTGGGTTCCAGCCTCTCTACCGCTCTTTTTACTTCCCAAGCTGGCCCATGGTCCCCTCAGGCTCAGCTCTCCAGAGATCTGCTACCCCGTTCCTGCCTCCAAGACCCACTCTACCCTCCTGGCACTGGCTGTGTCCTGGTGGAGGAGCTACCATAGGCAGCAGAGAAGCAGAATTCTGCTGGGAGCTGTGACCTGAAGACACCGTCCCCACCAAGCCCACTGTGCAGACCCTGGACTGCTAGAGAGGGTGGTGGCACCATCCCCTCCAGGAAGAGTCACTAGGTCTGGAGGAAAATCTGCACCTCTGAGAGCCTCAAAGTAGCTGTGCCAGTCAGAAAGTGCCGCTCAGTGGTCCTGGTCCTCTGGGGGTGACAGGGTCACACTGTGAGCCGGACCTTACACAGCACGTCAGTGTGAAGGATGCCAGCATCCTTGTCTGTCATATTCCTGATTATGAGCCTGCTCAACCCCTCCCCAGTCACCTGGCTTATGCAGGGCGTTCACTTCTTTGGGCCTTTCCCTCCTTCATACCATGAGAGGTAAAGGCCAAGAAAGGTCGCAGGACATAGGCTGTGGGTCTAGGAGCAACGCCAGTGTGGGTGTGTGTATACTAAACCCAGGGCAGGGCACAGAGAAACACCAGAACCCAGAAACATCTGTCTCAGACCTGCTTTCATCCTGCTGGGATACACTAAGGTACAGGCAGGAAGAAAGCCACACGCCTGAAGGGAAGTCACTGCAGACACAGCAGGTGGCTGAGCAGCACCACAGGTGACAGCTCACTGCTGGGTTCGTTCCTGTGCTACCTTCCCCAGTTCGTCCCCTGGGACGCTGGGGAAAGAAATCGTGTTGGGTTTTTTCTATAAATAATTTCCTGTCATTGTGTGTAATGATTGGCGAATAATTTCACAACAACTGGCTGTTTCTTTGCTGCATTCTAAACTTGGGCAGCCCTGTGGATCATCAGCATTTTCTATCTCCCCGCCATCTGAAAAGAACAGTTTCCTGGGACAATCCCTCAAGCCCAGGTCAAGGCCGCAGTGAGCTATGATCGCGCCACCGCTCTCCAGCCTGGGTGATGGTGTGAGACTCCATCTCTAAAATAGAAATAAATAAATAGTAAAATGTTTCCCTTTCTTCATAAGAAAAATGCTTTTAAAAATTTCTCCTCAGATGCAAACATGCTAAACCCAAGTAAATGTCCCTTCACCTAGGCAGGCCTCAGAGGAAGAGACTGAAGCCACCTGAAATGCCAGTTAGCTGGTCAGCCTGTGAGATGCTTGTTTATTTGTAAAGAAATAGCCCATTCTGCGCAGTCTCAACAGCAGCCCTGGGAAACAGCAGGCCTGCTTTTATTTTCAAAGCTCAAAGTTCATCTTAGAGATAAAGCTCTCTTTTCTCATGAGATACTGAGTATCGTACATGGGTGTGACGGTGTAACGTAGGCCTTAGACAATCATTTGTCACCTTACAGGCAACAGGAACGTTCGGAGCCACCTGCCAGGCCCAGACACTCAAAGTGCTACAAGGTCGCCTATCTTTGTGCTTTGGGAGACCGAGTAGTTCCATCCCCAGGGCTATATTTCAACCAGGGTTGAGTTCATCTTTGTGCTTGTTTTTTCCCAAATAGCTCACTTTCTGATTTTTTGGGTTTAATAGTGATATTATTTAAGAGGAACCAAAAGAAAAAGTTCAGTGTAAAAATTGTTTTAGCAACAGAATAAATGAGTTAGTATGAATCCCAGTGCTCATCATATTCTTTGACTATTATACACATGAAAGATGAACGGCAAAAGAATAAGACGGGTTCCTCTTTTTTTCTTCTTCTTCTCGAGATGGAGACTTGCTTTGTTGCCCAGGCTGGAGTGCAACAGCACAATCTCAGCTCACTGCTGCCTCTGCCTCCTGGGTTCAAGTGATTCTCCTGCCTCAGCCTCCCAAGTAGCTGGGATTACAGGTGCGTGCCACCATGCCTGGCTAATTTTTTGTACTTTTAGTACAGACAGGGTTTCACTACGTTGGCCAGGCTGGTCTTGAACTCCTGATCTCATGATCCACCTACCTCAGCCTCCCAAAGTGCTGGGATTACAGGCATGAGCCACTGCGCCCGGCCAAGACGGGTTCTTTTACAATGGAAATAGAAAGGTCACCTTCTGCCACACTGAGTCTCTGCAAAGCCCCCACAGACAGTCTACTCAGGTGAGGACTGAATTTCCTCCCAGAACACTCTCTCCATTGTTGTCCTTCCTCCCCCATCCCAGGTGAATACATGTGGCACAGAGCTCTTCAAAGACAGCTTCCATTCCCTTGTCCTCTAATTCGATTTTCAGAATGTGGAGCCACGTGCCCCCTAGGGCCTGGCCTCTGCTCCCTGCTGCAGGTGCAGCACTAAACAGACCATGGGGCCATCAAGTCTAACAGGCTGCCCAGGCCTGGGCACTCAGGTCCTGCTGTTTCTCCCACCTCCCACCTCCCCACCGCCTTTTCTGTCACACAGCCAAGGATTCCTGTTCCCCGTCCTCTGTCACTTATCATTTCTCCTGATCCATCCTCAGCAGGGACTCTGTTTCTGGGAGCATCAGAGAGAGGCTTTCAAACTTTTTTGCTCATGACCCACAGTAAAAACTGCATTTTCTGTTGCAATTAAGTGTACACACCCATGCGTGCACATGCACGCACACACTCACATCTAAGTCAAAAATTTCAGGAAGCAATACTTCCTTTCACTACATGCAAAGCTTTCTGTTACTTTCTGTTATACTCTTCCCAGGCCACACCACCCCCCACATTTAAACAATGCTCGTTGAAATCCACTAAACTGATTTCCCAATCCCCTAACGGTTTATGGTCAGCAGTTTGGAAAACACTGGCTGAAATACTAATGAAAGGGCATCGCGGGCCTTCCCTGATGCGAGGGGAGGAAGGAAGGATTTGCTCAGCTCTACGTTCCCACAGACCCACTTCTCCTGCCCTTTGCCCCACATCCCACCTGCCACTTGTGATTAAATAACAGTTTAACATCACCAAAGCTCCCTTTCACTCAAGAACTAACTCAATTAGGCTTGAGCTGGTGGGAGCTTAAAGCAGATTAAGGGAAGACAAAGGAGGCTTTGGGATTTATCTTCAGCTTTCATGTTGCTAGGAGCTCTCTCTTCCTGTGCTTAGTCTCAAGCATCAAAGGGAGGGAGGCAGGGAGGGAGGAAGAAGGGAAGGAAGGAAGGAAGGAAGGAAGGAAGGAAGGAAGGAAGGGAGGGAGGGAGGGAGGGAGGGAGGGAGGGAAGGGAAAGGAGAAGAGGATGGAAGGAAGGAAAGGGAGGGAGGAAGGAACGAATGAAGGAAAGGATGAAAGGAAGGAAGGAGAGGAGGATGGAAGGGAGGAAGGGAAGGGAGGAAGAGAAGAAAGAGAAGAAAACTCTCCTAAGCCCCCCTCATGGGCTGAGGCCAACCAGCACTGCACTGGTCACCCCCACCTTTTATTTATAAACTTCAAAGTGCATCTTGCAGATAAGGCTCTCTTTTCCCATGAGATGCGGAGGGCTGTGCTTGGGTGTGCAGGAATAATGCAGGCCTTAGACAATTACTTGTAACCTTAGAGGTATCGGGAGGGTTCCCGGCTGCGCTGGGTCCAGACACTCGAAGTGCTTCCTAAGGAAGACATCCATGGTTCAGCGCAGGGATGGGCACTGCTCCCCACACTCCTCCAACGGGGCAGCTCCCTGCTCCGACCCCACCTCCCATCTCCCCCAGCAGCTCAGCCAGCCATCTGTGTGGCAGATGAGCCGCACACAGAAGGTGCTCGGCAAACACTTGCCGAATCCCCTGAAATGGTCCATCTGGGCCCCTTTACAAATCAAATTCCTTCTAGATCAGTGGCGCCCAACAGAATTATAATGTGAGCCACACATGTCATCTTACATTTTCTAGTGGCTAACTAAAAAAAAAAAAAAAGTAAAAAGAAACAGGTGAAATTAACTTCAGCAATAGACTTCATATATTTCATATATCAAAAACATTATCATTCCAACATGTAATCAGTATAAAATTTGTAAGATTTTTATATTCTCTTTTTCTGAGACCAACGGTTTGAAATCCAGTGTCAGTTTGGAATTGCCACACTTAGAGTGCTCAGTAGCCACATGGGGCTTGCAGCTACCACCCTGAGTTGCAGCTCTGAACTCTAACCAGGACTTGGGGCGACTGGGGCCCAGGGTGGAGCTCAGCTCAGAAGGAAGGTGCTAGGTGGAATCCTCCAGCCACAAGTCACAAAGCAGACTGTGTTGGGGGGGCTTTGCCACTGCACCCCCCTCCCCACTGTCCTCACTTGCCTTCCCCACCTGGCACTGTATCTGGTGGGAGGAGATGGGCAGGGCGTGGGAACAGAAGGAATGGATGAGGACTTAGAGATGTGTGAGCAGCTCTCACAGCTATGCACTGCCCCTGCTGGGGAGTCCATGTGGACCCCTTGGCTGGGCCTGACCCCATCACCTGTAGTGAGCCACACCAAGAAACATGCCCCATCAACACAAAAATCTCTGCTAGGCCACATCTGGGACAAGCTTAGTGACAGCTGAGTTAAATTACTGTATCCATGGTGCAGTCACCAAAGACTTGCAGCCCTCAATCATTTTCACCTGTCTTTTTGGGGACAACAGAGACATATACAGATTGTCAATTCAACATGAGCTCATCTTATTAGACGCAATCAGCCATATGGCACTTTGCAACCAGTACACGTGCTCCTTTGACAATCAGTGTTACTCAGCCTGCTGGGTAATGAGTTAGCTACTGGTGTTGTCTTCCCTTAGAAGAATCCATTTAACTCCTATGAGTGAGTCAGCTTTTTCCTAAGTGACATCTCTGAGGGGAATAGCCATGCCAGCTTGTCATATTCCAGGCTGTGGGGCTCAGTTCCAGAATGTTAGAGCTGGGAAGGTCTTGGTTCTCTCCTAGTCCTGCAGCTTTTGAGCTTTACTTTCTAAGCGCAAAACTTGTTTTCAAATGAAAGCTTATGGGGAGGCCTGATTAAGACAGATTCTTCTGTAGGAGCTGGAAGGAGGACACAGAGCTCTCCCTCCCTTCCTCCTCCCCAGGCATCTCTGTGTGGTGAGGGTTTATTAGAAAACCAGCAACGCTAGGCAAGCCACTCATTGCACACGTCTTAAAAGCAGGACCCAGAGCAGCTGTGCATGATATAGTCACACTGTGCCATGACAGAGCCAGGGCCAGAACCCCACTCTCAGATTCTAAGACCTCTATTGTTGTTGTTATTATTATTATTATTATTATTATTATTATTATTATTATTCGAGACGGGATCTTGCTACGTTGCCCAGACTAAAGTGCAGTGGCCCTTACAAAGATCTCTATTTTAGTATTTGAGTATTTCCAGAGAGTTCCATGGAAGATCGTTGAAAGATACAAATGGTCCCACAAGTAGAAACAGGTTATCATGAGGTTTGTTAGGGTTTATTGAGTGCTATGTGAGAGGCCCCATGCAATGGCTTTCCATGCCAGCCCACAAACTTCAAACTGCAGTAGGAATGGCATTATATCCCCAGCCTAAATGCAGTTATCCCTAACTGCCCTCAGGACCTGAGATTTAGAGGCTTGGGGGCCATAGGCTCCCAAATTCTCTGGGCCCTGAGACCCTGAGTCTATAGAACCATCATGAATGATATAGGAGTTATTAAGAAATTATTTTCCGCAGTTAGCGTGGGTAAAAGAGTTCTCAGTGGAATTTCCTTTTAATAAAAAGCAGCCCCCAGACCATTTCGTTTCTAACAGAAAGCAGCCTGAAAAGCCAAGCTGCAAGCATAGATGAGTGAGCTGGAAGCTCACATGTATAAGTGCCAGCAGCTGTACCTGGAAGTACATTCCAACATGGTGACTTCCCCACCCTCTCCTTGTTGTCACCTGTGCAGGTGTCATGGTGCCACCAGGTTGAGGCCATATTTGCATAATAAAAGATTAGGGTGGGAGAGCCAGTTTCTTCGAGGGCTATGTAAATGGCACACCTGGTCAGACCAATCCCCTGAGTCCTATGTAAACCAAACACAGCTTCCTCAAGCCCCTCTATATAATCAACTGCATCCCACCCCAAACTTAGAAACCCTCTTGGGCGCCCCCTTCCTCTGCATGAGGGAGCTCTCTCTCTCTCTCTCTCTCTTTCCACTCTTTAAACCTACTCCGTGGGTGTGTGTCCATGTCATTAATCTTGTCGGCTTAAGACAACGAACCTCAGGTATTTCCCCAGACAACGAAGCCGCTTCACTCTCAGACTGGCTAATGAGGCCCCTGCTACTGTGGAGCTGGCATAGGTTTTAGGGGGAAGGGGCAAGAATGGCCTTCATGGGGCTCTGGGGGTTCCTTGGCAACAGCAGCAGAGGGCTCTAGATAGGTGTATGGATGTCAGGGAAGACTCAGACTGGGGTGGGAAGGCAGATTCCACGGAAAAGGACAGCCAGGTAGTGATAGTCAGGTTCTACTATACATCTGGGAGACTTGTACTTGGCAGGCGCTAAATGGGCTATGAGCAAAGGCCTGGGCTGGACCCTGGGGACGGCCATGACATCTGCCCACCAGAATAGGCACAGAGACCTTCGGGGATGCATCAGATTCTTCGTCTGCCTCCCCATCTGCTCAGACTGTCTCTAACCACCTACCACCATTGTCCTGGTTGTGCAGAAGAGGAACATAAGCCAGGGCCACATGCAGTGGTTCGAGCCTGTGATCCCAGTGCTTTGCGGGGCTGAGGCAGAAGGATCACTCAAGGCCATGACTTCGAGACTAGCCTGGGCAACACAGTGAGATCCTGTCTCTACAAAAAATAAAAATTATCCAGGCATGGTGGTGCGGGCCTGTAGTCCTAGCTACTTGGGAGGCTGAAGTGGGAGGGTTGGTTGGGCTCAGGAGTTCAAGGCCACAGTGACCTATGACTGTGCCACTGCACCCCACCCTGGATGACAATGAGACCTTGTCTCTAAAAAAGAAAAAAGAACATAAGCCAACATTAAAGACCACAGAGGTGCAAATCAGGGCCAAAAAGGGACCAACGAGGCATTGCTGGGCTTCCCTGAAGGAGGTCCTGGAGCCCCCACAGGCTGGCCGGCCTTGTGCTTAACAAGGGCTAGGACTGGGCTGTCGTTATGGCTCTAATCTATTGCCCTTACCCACCCCCAACTTCCTCACTCCCCTACATACACACCAAGTCCCTGCCTAGGTCAGGCGGGCTGAGCCAAGACAAACACAAGCACATGAGCTCACTGTTCTGAGACTGCAGCTCAGATGTGCTATCTGAAATGTGGGGTTTGGGCTGGGGTCCTAACCGGAAAAAATAAGCAAGAAATTTTGAAACAAAAGAAAATGTTAACTTGAACCATTTCAGGGATCACTTTACCTTAAAACTATTCAGATTCAAACATTGCTAATGGCAAAGCCAAGATTTAAATGGGCCCATTGGGAAAAGAAGTAAAATGGGGGGATTTCCAGGAATGGATAAGAAGGTTAGAATCTGCAGTACATTAAAATTTTAAAAGGATAAAAGGTAAAAAACCAGCCCCAGGGGATTGCCATGAACTCTGACACGAGGGGGTTGGAGCACACAGCCCCACCTTTCCTTCTGCAATTGCAGATTTCCAGGATTCAATTCCACTTCAATTGCTTCATTTCCTTTTTCTCTTTCTTTGTTGCACAGTGATAGTTTGGAAAGTGGGAGGGACAGGCTAGGGGAGAAAGGGCTGGGGATAATGGAAGACAGTGTGGTAAAGAGGAACACCACAGTACTCTGTCCCTGAAGAAGGGACTCAGAATGGGCAGCTCCTCAGAGCCAGCAGGTGAGGCCAAGGACACCAGCTTCTTGGTGCATTTTCAGTGATAGGCCACGTTCCTCCTACAAGTGCGCGTGTTTCCCTATCCAGGGAGAAAGCAACAGTAGGTAAAGGGTGTTAGTTGCCTGAGCAGAGAAATGAAGGCTTGATGGTAAGTTGAGACCAGATTTCAGTGAGCTTTGAAAGCTGTGAGAGTTTGAACCTTATTCCATAGGTGAGTGTCCACAATCACATACAAATCTGTGGATGCTCTGGAGGAGTTGACATTCTCACGAGGAAGACAAGCAATTAACGATCTAAGCTGTTGCACTTAATTAATTAACCTTGGTAAGCCCTACCAAGGACAAGTATGAGTTACTCTGACAGCAGATAATGGGGACAGGACTTCCTCTGTGGTTACCGACAGGAGACGCCCCAGCTCTGGGGGAGGAAGAACATGAGTTTAGTTCGGGAATTGTTGAGCTTGAAAGGGGCTATAGATGCCCAGTAGCAAAGGAAAGCAGGCAGTTAAAATTGGATTCGCTATGCCAATCTGGAGCTCAGAAGGGAAGAGAGAGCTACAGACATGGTTGGAATTGAAGCCACGGACATACATGGATGGGATTATTTGGGAAGAATATAGAGACATAAGAGGGTCTAGAATGGAACCTTCACTATAACATTTATAAGTCAGGAAGAGAAGGATAAATCAGCAAATGAGACTAAGGAAGCATGTGTCTGACCCATTGATTATTGTGTTCCCCAGAACCAAGCCCAGTACTTGGCACAGAGTAATCAATAAACATTTATTGAATTGATACATATATCATCTTGATTGTCTTTTCCCAGTGAAAAAACAAGCTGTGTTAATCAGCTATTTCTGCAATGGTGCTGTGTAACAAATGACCCCACAGCTCAGAGATTCTCCAGGCTTCATAGCTGGCTCCAGTCTGTTCACATCTCCCAGCTGGGGCTGAGCCTGAGGGG